TGGGGCTTGGAGGGGTCTACAACGTCCAAGGGCTCGGAGGTGGTCGCGGTGTGCGCGTGAGTGTGCTGTGCTTGTGTGCCTAGAGACCGGAGATGGCCTTGACCTACGCGCTCACGGTATGGAGCACCATGGTCGGAGTAGCAAGGTCCTACGGCGAGCAGGGGAAGAACCAGGGCTCACCGTTGGTGTTGGAGTCGAATGGATAGCGGTGTAGTGGCGGGTTGTGGCCGTGTAGCTCTAGAAGCAGTGCCGTGCCGAGCAACATCGACGTGGTGGATCGAGGCGTCGTCCTCTGCTGCGGCAACTCCGGTGACGTTGGGCGCTCCTTCTTCTTCCTCTATCCCCTTTCTCTCCTGGCTCTCTCTCTTGGTTCTCTCTTGGCTCGAGTGCGTAGTGGACGGCCACCAGGTGGCGGCGGGGCGATGGGAGAACTCTAGGGCTCTAGGTGTGGCTTTATAGCCCCTGGTGCCCGAGCTCCATCTACGGCGGACGGGCGGACGGTTGGTGATGCACCGTGGGCATCGAACGGCATTGCGGCGTGGGGTGGTTGGCGCGGAGGTCGCGTGGGCGCGGCACCAAGGGGGAGACAGTACCATGCCCCGGGCATGACCCCTGGCCTGCCCTACCACCGCTGTCGGGCGCCGGTCGCATAGGCGGTTGAGGCATGGGTGAGGAAGACGACACTGTGCTGAGTGTGGCTGACGCGTGGGGCCCGGTGGCAGCGGCTGCAAGTGAAACGGGGAAACGCGCGGGCGTGGGTGACGTGCGGCTGACGCGTGGGGCCAAGTGGCAGCGGCAGTTGGCGGGGCTACGGGCGAGCATCGGTATCCTAGGCCGGCCCGCTGGGCCGCGTGCGTGCGCGCTGGGGCTAGCTGGGCCACGAAGCCGAGCGACTGGCTGGGAGGCCCACTTCTTCTTTTCCTTCTTCTATTTTTCATTTCTTTTCCATTGTTTGAATTCAAATTTGGTTTAGAATTTGAATTCGAAACTGATGTAGCTTATTCATTGGAGTTTAGGGAATTTTGTTTAATAATAACTTTATGGTTTATTACTTTAATGGAATTGTTAAGCATAACATAAAGCAAATGGAAATCCAAATCACAACTTGAATTAACAATGCATGCAATATGTTATTTGTTAGAATTTAAATAATCATAATCAACAAATGACATGCCTTGCTTATGTGTTGACTTGGGTTGGGATTAGACCTAATGCATCTCTTAGGTTGGGTTTCTATACATGACACTCATCATCATATGGGATTCTTGAGAAAAATTTTGTAGTTGGTATTTTTGGTGTGTGGATTTTTGGGTTGTTACACCGTTAGATAGAAGTATAGTTTCTACTAGGAGGCCGGTGTAGGCAATGGAAGATCAGGAGCCGGCACGGGGGATAGGTTTTCTTCTGTGTCTGGTTGGCGTGGATGCTATGTGATCTTCCACGTTAAGCGTTAGGTTTTGAGGCCGCGTTCGAACCACTACTTTCTTGGCCGTGTTTGAGCCATGTTTTTCTTTTGTGATAATTTGGTATCATCACATTTGGGGGAGATTTGGTATCTTTCCGGTTTTGTGTTCCAACCCCTGTGAAATCGTGGTAGAGATTATATAGAAATCTAGGTTAGCGTTCCAAGCATGTACGGGATCTCATTAGGTCTATTTTGTCCATTGATCATGGATGAGGTTGCACCTATCTTGTGGGGAAATTTGTACACTTTTGCAGAGTTTTATTAAATCTATTCGAATAGCCACGTCCTTGGAATGGGCAAATGCTAGGATGGGATACTATGATTAGCTTTACTTTTATGTGCAATGAAACTGGTAATTAATTGATGATTAACCTGGGCACTAGTGGGAATGGTAATACTCCGCTAGGACTCACCGTTAAATTATAATCACCACTACACTTCTATTTCCACCCATGGTTGGGACTTGCTGAGTACGTACGTACTCACCCGTTGTCAACTCATAGACCTCGGCACAGAAGAAGACTATGACTTCGAAGATGAAGCGTATCACGAGGAATAGGATTCCCATTAGGAGTTTCGTTTGTAGGAATGTGACATCGAGGATAGGGTTTCGTCCGCGCTCTAGTTGCCTGTGGAATAGGATGTCATTTCATTGTATAATAATCCCGCTTTAGAGACCACCAATAATGCCGTTTCATGGCCGTAGCTTTCTGCGAACTCTGTAGCCTACGACAATGCCCTTTGGGCCACTGTTGTAGACCTTATTTTATATATCAATAAAGCTCGGAATCTTTTATAATATATCTATGTACCATCCCTGTGATTAGTGCGTATTTGTGCGTGATCCTGGTGCAAATATGGAAGCACTGAGGACTCTCAAATTGAGGGGCCGACATGGTGTGGAGGAGATATTTGGCGGGAACCCCGGTCTCCACCACCTCCGCATGTCGCCCGAACACCGCCATACGAAGGAGTGGCCAAGAGGCGCCAGGAGGGGTGCGGCCGCACCCTGACCGACTCTGGTCGCCACCGCCTTCGCGCGGTGGACTCTTGAGTGAGCTTGGGCTGCTCCTTGGGTGGTGTTTCGCTCAAATAATCTGGGTAGATGGGCCTTTGTTATTAATCCTTTAGTGCAATTCAGAGTTGCGCTTTGTTGGAACACGCCTTTTGGTATATTTTCCCATGTATTTGTGTTTATGTCCTCCAAAACAATAATCTCCAAATACATGTGGAAGTTGGTCAATAGTAAATGCATATGTGCACAAGATTGCTAGTTTCTTCTCTTTTTATGTCTTAATTGGTGGGTCAAATTGATCGTTAAGGACCGCCAACACTCACCCATGAATCATATGGAGTAGCATCCTCTATGTGAGTATGAACAGGCATAGCCTCCTCTACTTCAGCACGAACAGGCAAATCTCTGACTACTCTCTCCTCAACCGGTCCTGGGTAATGGTTACCTGGGTCAACTGGCACATCTCTGGCTCCTTCATCATGGTCCGAACCCTCTAAATGACTACTAACTTCATCACCAATCCTTTTCTCCTCCTCTTGCTCTGACTCGTCCCGCTCGTACGAACCCACATCGAAGTCGTCGTTCAGACGGCCTACTGAAACCCACCTGCATTCATCGACTGCCATTGGAGAGGACTGAAGTTGCTCATGCGTCAACTAATTGTCCAATACCATATTCCCTAGTGTTGGGTCCACATCGACCCTCATTGTTGTTCATCGCCTCCAACACAATCAAAGGATGGCCCATCCTCCTTCCTGTATCCATTTTCCACCACCACCTCAGCCATGCATGGTCACATTTGACCCTTCGATTATACCTTTTTTTGCGCAACCAATGACCCTCGTTGGGCAAGGGCATTAAGACGAAGTGTTCCCTAGTCTTCCCACTATCAACCTCCCCCCTCGATGTGAAAGCACCATCAAACTTTTCCTTAATACACAAGAAAAGGTCACTGAAGCTAGGAGGCACATCAGATATTTCCAATTCATCTTCAATATCCTCAAACACCATATCTTCTTTTCTAACACTTCCTCCATAAAACAAACGGGCAAAACAATCCATCTACAAAAGCATTTGAACAAACTTCATCAAGTCTATGAAATGGTTCTGGCGAATAAAACAGGGGCGACTAAGTACATATAACCTATACATAGTAGCCTAACAAAATATTAATACAATCTAACCTAACCTAAATATATAACCTCTAACCTAACCTAACTATATATAACTGATACATACTAAACTATCTATACTAACTAACTATACCAAATAAGTATACTAACAAATATTACAAATACTTATCTAACTAACTATACTAAACTAACTATACTAATCTAACTACCATTCAACCCTAACTATACTAATCTAACTATACAAATCTTAACTACCATGAAATCGAGGTTGAAATCAACATTGCAACAAGAAATCGAGAGTGGATTACCTGTCCTACGAAGCGGGGAACCTCGGGGGTTCACCCACACCCAGCACGGCCAGCGGAGAGGGCCGCCGCTGGCCCCTGGCGGCCGGCGGCCGGCGGCGGGAGCACGCAGCGGGCGGCACAGCCGCGAGGGGCCTGACAGAGAGAGGGCCGGCGGCGGAGTGAGAGAGGGAGGCCGAGGGGAGTCACGGAGGGAGGAAGAGCGCTGAAGATGGCTGAGGTGGAGAGGGACGACGGCGGCGAATGCTCGGGCCGGCACAGACAGAGGAGAAAAGAAAGAGAGCGAGAGAGAGAGAGAGAGAGAGAGAGAGTGGGCCGCGCAATGGATCTGTAATCCCCCCTGCCGCACCAACTGCGCTAGAGTTGACGGCAAAAAAAAACTTTACTTACAGTATAGTAATACACAAAAAAAATCTTTAGGTTTTTCTTCAACATATGAAAATGATGCTACTATTGTTTGTAATTTAAATTTTGAATGTACCTACTATTTTTGTAATTTAAAATTTGAAGTTAGCTATTTATAATTTATATAGACTCTTTATTTTTCAATTAATTTTTAGCTCAAACTATTCGTGGCCGGCGAGGAGGCCATGGCTTGCATGCTGCTTGGTGCTTGCACATTTGCACGTTGCGAGATGTGGCGTGAGTCTTGGCTGAGTGATTTGGCCAGCGGCCTGTTTCTTGCATGTACTTGAGTCTATATATATGAATGGAAAACGATGGGAGTTGTGTGGCTTACGTAAAACTAAAGCTTGTTAGCTTGTACCGTTTTCTGTATGTGTGTGCTTTGTGTCCACCGTAACGTGAGTGTGTAAGTGTTTGTGATAAACACCACAACTGAGAGGGAGTGGTTCCAAGTTCCAACAAGAAACCAGAGGGAGTGATTCCAACAGTATCGTCCATAGCATGACATCTGTCCTTGAATCGTCTTCTCTCCTTGCCACAATTACGATTTACGAGAGCAGGCTTGCGCTGGCGCAAATCCACCGTGCATCTGCCTGAACTTTGACAGGAACCAACAATAGGTTTGATAATAGACTGGACCCAAGCCAAAAGCAGGCCGGCAACTGCCAAAGATCGAAATGGAACTTGTGACCACCCTTGTGAGCTTATCAATCAGCTACTTCAGAAGCTAAGAGATATCTTTTAATTTGAGGGGAAGAGCTAAGAGATATCCATTCAAAGCAGAAAATCAGTACTCCTAACCTACGAAACTTGTGACCACTATGAAAGAATCCTGCTGAACTTCCTCATACATAAGGGGGAAATTTTCTCAATTAAAAATCACTCCTGAAATCGGCAAGAAATTGGTAAAATATCATTTCTTACATAACGCCGACTAGTGACTACTATGGAAGGGTGACTCTCTGAACTTCTAGCTTCTTTGTTATGACATGACAGTTTGGTTTCTGCATGTGTGCACACCGGCCAGGACACAACACATGACGCCGGTCGCCGGGTCCTGATCCTACATCGTGCAAAGAACGAAGAATAATTGAATGAATAGCTCGAAACCGACCTGATCCACTACAAATCCTCATCAGTCGCAGCTGACGGTGTCAGAAAGAGAGCACGCAGAGGAGGACACAGGGTGTCCATGTCCAAAACCAGCAAGCAACGGCGTCCCAGGGCAGCTGAGAGCTGCCGGCCGGTTATGGCTTCCCGTCTTCTCCTCCTCCTCGCCACCTTGGCCCTTCTCTTCGTCGCAGCCGCAGGGCAGGAGGGCAACAATATCTCGAAGCCGTTTAATCCGTCCTGCTCGACGTCGGACAACTACACCGACGGGCCACGGCAGCCAGTACAAGAAGAACCTGGACCAGTTCCTGGCCGCGCTCCCCACGGCGGCCGGTGACAACGGCTGGTTCTACAAGGGCAGCGCCGGGTCGGGGCCCGACGCGGTGTTCGGCCTCATCATGTGCTTCGCGGACCGCGACGCGTCCGATTGCCTCTACTGTATCTCCACGGCGTCAGCCGGGATCACGACGGCGTGCCCGGGCAGCCGGAACGTGAGCGCGGCGTACGACGCGTGCGTCCTCCGGTACTCGGCCGCGCCGATCCCCACCACCGCGGACCTCGGCTACGTATTCGCCGAGCCGCTGACCCCCATCGGCATGCCTGTGACCTCAGAAGCTGTGCCGCACGCCTGGGTGCCGCTGATGATCGCCCTCTCAAGCGGCATCGCCTTTGACACGTCGCGGAGTTTCAGAAGAAGCATGGCGTACTCGAGCACGGGCTCGCAGGAGATGAAGATGTACGGGCTGGCACAGTGCACCAGGGACCTCAACGGCAGCGAGTGCTCGACCTGCATCAGGAGCTACGCCATCAGGCTGGGGAAGCTGTTTCCCAATCACACGGGATGCTCCATCAAGGGCTACAGCTGCTACCTGCGCTACATGGTGTCGTTCCTGATAGACATCACTCTGCCGCCGGCGCCACCTACGTCTTCGCCGCCAACTCCAGGTACACATCCTCCTGCTGCGGCTTCCTTTATCCGTTTATCGTCATCGACTGATGCAGGGCAACAACGTTGACGCGGTCTTTTGCATCCCTCCACAGAACCATCAAAGACAGGGATCGTGATTGGCGTCTGTCGGCTCCGTCTCGATCATGATCATCCTGGCCATCTTCTCCATATGGCTCCTTCGCCGGCGACGGAGGAGGCAGGCTAGAATCCTTGAGGAAGCGAGGGAGCAAGAGCTGGGAGAAGGAGGGTCATGATGGTCGTCGGCCTCTGGTGCGCGCACCCTGACCGGAGCCTCCGACCGTCCATCCGGCAGGCCGTCAGCGTGCTGGGGTCTGAGATGCCACTGCCCAATCTGCAGGCGAGGATGCCGGTGGCAACCTATGAGCCACCACCTGATGCCTTCTACTATACATCTACCACTGTCACAAGCGTTAATAGCAGCACCACTCAATCCAGCATGACAATCACAACTGTCCTGCCCAAATGACCTCAGATCATTCGCGACTGCAGAGACAACAAATGGACAATGCCCGGAGATCTTTGGCACACTGCTTTTGAATGTAATAAGTACCTCATCATGTTCCTTTAAAATACTTTGCAAGTATTATTATTTGTTACTTGAAATTGTTCTTGACCCACCGCATTTATTGGCATAAACTTTATATAGTTATCGTCAAATAATTTCTTGGGTTAAATTAAGTTATCGTTGTCTCTCTCTTCTATTCCTTTTTCCCGCACTCCTATCTTGTGGCTATATAGTTATTTCTACTGAGTATAATCAGGGAAGTCTTGAATTATCTCTTGTTGAACTTCATTCCTCGAGAAATAACTATCCAAGTTCCTTAGCTCTCTTTTAAAATTTAATGTTTTGAATCTTGGAGAGATCTGTAGTTTCCTTTTTGCTATAAAATATCATGGTGTTAACCATAATGGAGCTCAATTCTGTTGGTGCCATTTTCTAGCTCAAGCATGCATGTGTTGGATGGCCTGATGTCGTACCAACATCCACAGGCGCCTTAAGGCTTCCAAAACCATGGAACCATCGCTAATGGCAATGAGCTGTTAGTCTGAGACCTGCTACCATGCCACTCTCACACTATTATCGACCATGCCATGACCACGTTTGTTTTCTCTTGTGACTAACTTCTCGCAAAAGAAGGTGAAATGATGTCAGCTACACTGATCTTGAGCTTTTCATGCTTGTCTATCGATGAATTGATGAACCAGTTGCACATAGCACGTAGGACATCGATAGCCAATATGCATAATCACAGCAGCCAAAACATGTTACGCCTTATGTCAATTCATTCAAATTTAAGCTATGGTAGTTGGAATGGACATGTTTTGTTTTCGCTTTGTCGATGTCAACGATGCTGTCAAAAATTTTCGGCCAAGAGGACAGGCTAAGATGGTGAGCGCAGTGGGGAGAAGGAGCTGCATGAGTACTGAAAGTGCATCGATGATTTTTTATGGTGTACAAAGACATTGGTGTCCAAGCGTGCGACGCTGATGCAACCGTATCTAGCAGATGCGGTCTACAGACGCGCTGCAGGGAATTTTTTTTTCCATGGCTGCCCCGTTCGCCCGGGCCACACTGGCCACTGGCACCTAGGCCCGGCCGGCCAAGCAGGGTCTCTCACTATCAGGGCCGGTTGCAGGAGGCCAAGTGGCTGGCGCTGTACAGGGCTGGGAGTTGGGACGGTGCTGGGCATGTGCCGATTCTGCAATAATCCACAACAGATCTAATGAAGCATGCACCACCGGCGTAGAAGAAATAGGATCAGGTATTGATAAATCCCATACTATGCTCGCAACAAGTGACCACGTGCTTGATTATGACTAATTAATATTACTAGCAAATATGGCCGGGCGTGAACGAGAGAGAAAAAAAAGCTATCAGCTTGCTGCGCAGCTACAACGGTACTATTCATGTGTTGATAGAGTTAGATATCAAGTTCCGTGACTTCTTTTGAGGATCCACAAGAATATCTAATTTTAATATCTTATTAAAGTCGGCAAGGGGTTAGTCGTCATCCTGTCAATAATTGGTATCTCTATTGATGAGGCAATGGTCCAAGTTTCGAAGACCAGTAATACTATGTTTACTATTTATTTTTTCATCTTTATAAGAAAAATAGAGTTACATTTAAAAACAAAAAAAAAATCACGAAAAGAGTGGCACGGGACGCCACAGTCCTGCAGCAGGGGCAGCAAGACATATGGACTACGGAACATCTCCGAACGAACTGGACAAAAAAAATGCGAGAGATGAAAATGAGACGGAAACGAGAAAAAGAACGCGGACAGAAAACGGTTTATTCGGCCTTTTGGCCTGCTGAACGCCCGCGTGGGCTTTAACTCAAAATCGATTTTTTTGAGGCGGTTTTAAAACCGCATCAGCGGTTTTTTAAATCGCCTCTGAAAACTGATTTTAACTGCCTCTAAATATATTTTCTTTACTAGCGCGGGCCGCGCAAGCACGCTGGTCTGCGATGCCTCGCAGGCCCACTTAGCTACCAGCTTGATCTAAACCGTTGATGCCAATCCAACGTCCTCAGGAACAAAACCAATCCGCCGCTGTCCCCCAAAAAAACCTTAGCTTCACTTTCTCTTCTTCCTCCGTCCTTCTCGCGTCGCGCAGCTGAGAGAGCTTGGCGGACGAGCAGGTGGCGCCGGTGTTGGAACGCGCGGAGCCAAGCTGAGGGGTGCCACCGACGGGAGCGTGCACGGCAGGCTGACCCGTGTCGCCGCCAGGCTGCTCGCCAGAGCTCGCGTGCAACGGTGACCGCGCGTGGCTCCGTCGAGGCGCCCTGCTGTGGCGCTCAGGCGTCCCGGCGGTCGCAAGCAGCGAGCCCAGGATCCCTGGCAGCCGCGTGGCCCGCGTCCCTGGTGGCTGCACGCGTGGCTCCATCGAGCCGCCCTGTAGTGGCGCTCAGGCATCCCGGCGGTCGCGAGCGGCGAGCCCAGGTGCCCTGGCGGCCGCATGGCCCGCGTCCCTGGTGGCCACTGCATCGCTGAGGTTGTCAACGCCAATTTTTTTATTTTATAAGTTGTCTTTCTAAAGTTAGTCTGATTTGGTATTGGGTTTGGATTGCTGTGCAGTGCTTTGTGGATTTTGATTCGGACTCAATTTGGTCCTGGGCACCTTCTTGTAGATTTGGGCTTGCCGATTTGAAAAATTGTTGTATAGATTTGGGAGACCTGAGAAAACCTATTTGATTTCGGATTGTGATGGTCCATACAAAAATTAATCCAGACGAACTTTGAGGCCTAAATTTTGCCTCTTTAGTATTAGGTAGAGATAGAGACGTGTACCCGTGCTAACGCTACGGTAAAAACAAAACAAGATAAAATTTGTAAAAAAAAATAAAACAACAATCCGATTCATTAAGATTCACATCTCATATTTGTATAAGCAAATATTTTTGTCACATAATGAATGTCACATAAGGATTGATCGTTTGAAGAGGCGACAGCATCATTCACTGTCGGAGACTGTGTAGTTACCGAGTGCCCCGACAATTACCGAGTGTCAAAAGTCGGGGCACTCGGAAAACAGTACTTACCGAGTGCCAACACTCGGAAAACATAAACACCCGGTAGTCGACCGCTTTACCGAGTCAGCACACTCGGTAACTTCAGACACTCGGTAAAACTACAAGTTTACCGAAGGGGTGCACTCGGTAAAAATAGCCACTCGGTATTGAGGTGCCACGTCACCTAGGATAGCAACCGTGCGCCAAACGGCGTCACGGCATGACATGTTTACCGAGTGTTATGAGCATACTCTTGGCAAACATCACGATAACAACTGCTACGCCCATCAAGCGCTCATAGCAAATAAAAAAGACCGAAAATGTTTACCGAGTGTCACACTCGGTAGAAGTATTTGCACTCGGTAATAATAAAGTTTTACCGAGTGTAATTGCACAACACTCGGTAAACACTATCTTTTACCGAGTGTATTGGCGCAACACTCGGTAAAATTCAACCAAATTTCTTGTTTTTCCCTTCATTCTTTTTCCTCTATCCACATATGATATTTAGTACCCCATTCCAAAATATGGTGTTTATTTCGATTTATTTACTATATTTCACAAAATTTTCATTCTTTGTGAAAATTAGGTACATATCGTGTAAATTTAATTGTAATAATTAAAATCGAACTCGATAAATCACGAGATTGGAAGAATTAACATTGAAGCATACATCTATGTTATAGAAAAATTTTCATAACGTTTCGGACGTATTTTTACATTTGTCGCTGCCGAACCGGTACATCTCCCAAAGAGACGCTAAACATTCACAATGACGTGTAGGATTTCTATTAAGAGTGAAATTCAACATTATGATTTGAACTTGGAATTTTTTAGATAGTAAATAGATGACATGAAATAGTTCATGTGAAAGTTTGGTGAATTTTAGGATTAAATTGCCATTTTTTCTTTTTTGTTTTGCATGAAATAATGGATACTTTTACCGAGTGTGACCTCAAACACTCGGTAAAGGTTAGCCACGGCCCACCTGTCTGCCACAGTGGGCTGCCATGCTTCTGTTTACCGAGTGCCGTAGATCTATGCACTCGGTAAACATGTACTAGGCCCACATGTCATTGGGCTGCGGTGCTTGTGTTTACCGAGTGTCGTAGATCTGGACACTCGGTAAACATGTACCAGGCCCACATGTCATTGGGCTGCTGTGCTTCTGTTTACCAAGTGTCGTAGATCTGGCCACTCGGTAAACATGTACCAGGCCCACATGTCATTGGGCTGTGGTGCTTGAGTTTACCGAGTGCCGTACATCTAGGCACTCGGTAAACAGAAGCATTCAACACTTAGCCGTTTCTCCCTCAAATCGTGCACAGACACACACACACACACACACACACACACACACACACACCGCACACGCCCGCGCATCCCCGCCGCACCGCCGCCGTCCCCCACGCCGGCGCCTCCCCGCCGTCCCCCGCACTTGCGCCCACGCCTCCCCATGCCCGCGCGCTCCACGCCGTCACCAGCGCCTCCCCGCCGTCGCCGGCGCCTCCCCACCGCCGCGGCCACCTCC